GTCAGATCTACAAGCTTTGACAAAGAGAAGCGACGAATCCTTCAAGGCATATGCTCAGCATTGGAAGGAGTTGATCGCCCAAGTGGAGCCCTCACTATCGGATAAGGAAACCGTGTCCATGTTCATCAATTCATTGACAGATCCCTATTATGACAAGATGATAGGGAACACGTCGACCCTTTTTGCGGATGTGGTGACCATCCGCGAAAGAGTGGAGCAAGGACTACAGAGTGGGAGGATTGTGCAACCTTCCTCATCCAGTGCATCATTCAAGAAGTCATTTGGCAAAAAGGAGGGAAACGTGAATGCCATCAACCTTGCTACACCTTCTTCCTCTTCGCGACCAGCTAGGCAGTCACGTAATTAAGAGAGGAAGTTCACTCCCCTTCCAACCTCCTATGGGAGTTTGCTGCTAAGGTTGATAGAGGCCAAACTCCTAGGATGCATCCCTCTGAGAAAGATGGATCCACCCTACCCTGATTGGTATAAGCCAAGAGAAAAATGTGATTATCACTCAGGCATTCTATGGAGAATTGCTTGACCTTGAAGTATAAGGTTTAAGAGTTGTTGGATGTCGGGTGGATCACTTTTGACGCTCCAGCCTCTTATGTGGACACCAAGCCTCTATCTCCACCGGAATGATGGGGTTGGATAGAGAATACCAGCTTATTAGGGCTCTATATGTTAGTATTCATATGTTTTTTTTAAGCTTCCGATGTATCTCTCGCGGTTCCTGCCCATGGTCGTGAGATCTTTGATTAAAAGAACTTTTTAAATATTTCGTTTTTATCAATACAATGAGGCATTGTCATGGCATTCATATTCTTTTCCATTCTTTTCTCCCTTATTATTATTTCAAAGAAATTGATAATAAAATCTAAACCTAAACAGAACCATAAAAACAATCATGTTTGTGATTGAGAACTCTCTATGGGATCCGAAAGTCGAAGGCGAATAGATCGGGTCAGACAGTGAGGAGGGGACCGTCTCCTCGGACATGCAAAGACTGTTAGAAAAGGAAGTTTGATCTATACAGCCCTACCAGGAAGAAATCGAGGCCATTGATTTGGGGCAGGGAGATGATAAAAAGGAAATAAGTATTGGTACCCAAATTGATGATAACTTCAGGGAAGGATTAGTACAACTACTAAGAGAGTATGTGGACGTATTCGTATGGTCCTACCATGACATGCCAGGACTTGATACGAGCATTGTGGAGCACCGGTTGCCGTTGAAAGAGGGATTTCAGCCGATAAAACAAAAACTCAGAAGAGTGAAACCTGAATGGTCTTTAAAGATTAAGGAGGAAGTGCAGAAATAGTTGGATGCTAACTTTTTAATCGTGTCCAAATACCCCGAGTGGTTGGCTAACATCGTGTCAGTCATTAAAAAGAATGGAAAGATCAGAGTATGTGTGGACTATAGGGATTTAAATCGAGCAAGTCCAAAGGACGATTTTCCTTTACCACACATTGATATGTTGGTAGATCACACCGTCACGAACACACTCTATTCTTTCATGGATGGATATGCGGGGTATAACCAAATTAAGTTGGCTATTAAAGATAGAGAAAAGACCTTCTTTATCACACCATGGGGAACATTATGTTATAGAGTAATACCTTTTGGGCTCAAGAATGCGGGGGCTACCTATCAAAAAACCATGGTAACGTTATTCTACGATATGATCCACAAAGAGATTGAAGTGTATGTGGATGACATGATTACCAATTCCAAGAATGAGATGGACCACATCCAATATTTGAGGAAGCTATTTGATCAACTTCGAAAGTATCAGCTTAAGCTAAACCCGACTAAGTGTACTTTTGGAGTATGGTCGGATAAACTTCTTGGGTTCATCGTTAACAAAAAGGGAATTGAGGTAGACCCCGATAAAACAAAGACAATTTTGGAAATGCCCCCTGTCGCTGCCGTCAAAAAGAGGCGGTCAGGGCAACGCGATGGTTTCGACTTTTTTGTTTTTCCCGTTTTTATGGGTGAGGTTACAACGCCTTTAGATTGTCCGATAACCGGGCTGAACCTAGGGGTGAAGTTTTTGAAAAGGTGTTCATAGGTTGTCCGATAACCGGGCTAACCTAAGAACTAATTTGAAGGGGTTCTTATGGAGTCGCCACCGATGTTTTTACTGGAAACATCGAAAAAGGAGGAAAAAGGCGTTGGTTTTTTGAAAAACCAACTTTGGTCGTTAAAACCAGAGTTGGGTAAGGGAGTTAGTTACGTGTAAGGGAAGTGTTAGTTCTCTTACGACGCCCCTTTCGGGTTCCCTATGATAGGCCAGCTATTTTATAAATGAACTTTTGAAAAGACGCTTTTACCCTTTTATTTTCAGAATTAAAATAATGACTACATGGTCCTAATGTATATTACGCAATTTAATCATAAAAATAAAGACAGTAAAAGAGAAGGAGAGAATGAAGAAACCTCCGATGCAAGCTTTTGATTAATTTTCTTGAAAGTAGGGTGCGTTTTGGCAGCCCTTCGCTGTTACAACGCCGAAAACTCTCTTGAAACGCTATAAAAAGCTCTCTAAGACTCTCAAAAACTTCGGAAATGCTTCGGAGGGACTCTAGGAAGAGAATTTGAAGAAATTGTAGAAGGGAAAGTGAAAGAACTGTGTGAAATGAGGGGGGGAGCGCTCACTATTTATAAGGATTCGCGCCTGTCAAGTCGAGACAGCGGTCTCGACTTGCAAAAGTGGCGAGACCGCCGTCTCGTTTGGCGAGACGGCGGTATTGACTTTTCCAGTGATGAGAAGACCTTCTCGCCAAACGGGAGAGGGGTCTCGCCATTGGCAAGGGGTGAGACGGCGGTCCCGAAAAGCGAGACGACGGTCTCGACTCCTGAAGGCAAAAATCCTTATTTTTATACAGAAAATCCTTCCTATCCTAATATGGGGCCTAATAGTCTCTCCTAGTGGCTTCTTAGGCTTCGTCCATCTTCGAATAGGAGGTCTTTTGTTCTTATTTTGAGTTCGGGCAAGATTTGAGGTCTACAGCTGCCCCCCCTTTACTTGACTAGTCGACTGTTGGCCTGTCGTGCCAAGAAGATCGACTGGAGGGTAAAGGAGTTGACCCTCTTGCCTGGTTACCCTTCGGATGTTCCGTCTTGCGGCGATTGATCTTCTGGGGAAAAGTGTGTTGTGCACCTTCAGGATACTCCTTCTAACGGTAACCGATCCCTTCGATTGACACATGGTAGAACCTCAGGATACTCCTTCTGACGGTAGCCGATCCTTCGGTTGATGGGTATAAACCCCCCATCAGGCTGGTACAGTCCACTGTGTAGGACTGGTGGTGGTGGCAGCTTACTGCTCAGGTGGCTCATGCGCCGTGTGTTGAAATACTTTCTTTTGTCTTTGTTTTTGTCTTTTTTGGGAGTGGTCGTCCGGTCTGTGCCGAGGATTCTGTTGGTGTTCATCTAGCTTGTTAGCTGTTGGGATGGTCTTGTTTATTTTGTTGTTTGACTTTTGTCGGTTGTTGAGGAGACTCTTGGTCAATGTGGTTGACTTGTTTTGTTTTTTAATCCTGCCTTTTTCCACGGTTATATCTTTTTTCTCGCGATTTCGGATTTTGGCTTTTTCGGGATTAAGCGTAAGTCTTTTTACTTTTAGTTTCTTTTTGCTACGCTGACTTTTTTTTTTTGAAAAAGAGAGCAAATAAAAATTTTATTTATGATAAATTTTTGGTTACAACATTTATTTTTGAGTACTATCCCTAAGACGGTGGACTTGAGCCAGGAGACGATCCTGGAGGAGGGAATTGCCGGTACATGTGTCTCTGAAATTCCGCCTGGTTTCGGACTGCATCGAGGTGTTCTTGTCGCAACATCACCAGGTCTTGCCTTATTCCCTCTTGTATCTGGCCGAAGGTCTCTATCCTCGTGTCGAAGACGTCCTGCCTCAAGGACATCTGGTCCTGTCTTAGGGACATTTGGTCGAATTGCTGGCGCAAGTCGTAGATGTTGCGGTTGATGCCAGCAAAGTCGTCCGCGTACTGCTGCTGTTGCTGATGCTTTGCTGCTTTTGTTGTTGCTGGAAATCCGGGGGTGTCGGGAGATCTTGCATTGCCACGATGTCCCGGAGATCAAGAGTTATGTCCAGTGAGGGGTGGAGGATCAACCGAGACCCTTGGCGGAGCAGCATCCCCATGCTGACCAGGACGGACCCGTTGATGGTCTCGGGTCGAAGGCTGGAGGCCAGTTCTTCCCTGCCACTGCACCCCCATTTTTCTGCTAGTGGGGTGATAAGGGAAGCCATGAGGATGGCTCCACGAGACGGCTCTCGAAGTCCTTGAGGGCCTTCAGGAAGAAGTAGTCGGGGTTGCACCGGCGCCCTTGGCTCATGCAGTAGAGGGCGAAAAGATCTAGGTGGGTGACCTTATCCTGACTCTCCTTCCACCCGTGGACAGTCCCAGCCAGCAGCTTGTGGCAAATGCGGAGGGCGGGGGTAAGTGCAGAGCCCTTCAGCAGAGATGGCAGAGTATGCATCCTGGTCAGCTCCTCCCACATCTCGCCGGCGGTGAGGGTAGCGGGGCGCTCGCAGATGGCGTCCTAGTATTCCCGAGTCAGGACGTCCTCGGGCCAGACGAATCCAATGGATACATTGAACTCGTCCAGGGTGGTGGTTCGGTACATCCCATTCATGAAGTAGGTCACAATCTTCGTCGGTGGGAGGCTCGACACCATGGTGGGAATCTCGCAGTAGGCGATGGAGGTGAGAAATTCCATCACTGCTTGTGGGTAGACGTGAGTGGGAGGAGACTGGAGCAAGAAGCGCCATCTGATGCTGTCGAGGTAGGCACGAATGTCGTCTTTCCAACCGAACTCGGCGAGGATATCGAAGTCCAGCCTCAGCATGGGGTGCCAAGTGTACCCCTGAATATGTTCCAGGTGGGCCTTGTGTGAGGGTGAGAGTTGCGTTGGATCTTGTGGGGCTGGGGCCGTGGAGCTATTGGGGCCAGAAGAACCCCTTCTCTTTCTGTATGCGTCTCCTTTATGCATTTTTGGGAGTAGGATGCTCGAATATAGGAGGAAGGAAGGTAAGAGTGCAGGAGAGAGTGTTTGAGACCCCCCTAGGCGCCCCTATTTATAGGATTTTCGTTCAGATTCGGGACCGCCGTCTGGGAAGTCGAGACAACGGTCTCGATTTCGCGTTACTCAGGACCGCCATCTGGAACCTCGAGACGGCGGTCTCGACTTTGGCTTTAGGCGAAACGGCCATCTCGCCAAGCGAGAAGGCGGTCTCATTTTTGGCCAAATCGAGACGGCGGTCTCAAAAGTTGAGACGACAGTCTCGTTTCAGTGCGAATCGAGATGGCGGTCTCGTTTCAGTGCGAATTGAGACGACGGTCTGTTTTTCAGATGGATTTTTTTTGTGTGTGAAGAGAATAGGACCTTGTTCAAAAATATTTTATACATGCAATGTTTTCATGTTTGATGTCCTATAATGCCTATTTCATTAGTTTTTCAGAAGGATTTAACTGATGCGTCTTGTAGAGACGGGTGTCCTCTGATCTTGGTTCTTTCTGCTATACTTGGTTGTACCGTTCCGGACTTCACATGACCGAAGAATAATTTTCTCTTCTTTCTTTTTTTCTTTTCTTTTCTTTTTGGAGAGCACACTTTGTCATATTGGTGTCCCTTTTTCTTCACTTTAGGGGTTTCAATCCTCTTGTTGACTATACGCCTCCATATTCCCAAACTAATTGTTAGAATAATGTTGTGAGGGTCAAGAGAAAAGAAGCAAAGGGTAAATTCAACGACTTGTGTTTTAGACGGTTGGTTTTATTTAGAAAGGATTTTGTAAGAATGGTTGGCTAAGGTTAGACCTTGGTGTTTAAGCTTTTGTCTAAGCAAACATTTTCTTCTTCTTCTTTTTTTTTGGATTTGCGCTTTAGCCTATTTTCATTGCTTTTTATGGCTGGTTGAATTCCCGAGATCGCCCTTTGGGTTTTCGAACTAAGATATTGTGTTTTGGTCCTATCTTTTGTCTAGATTCCTTTTTTGTTTTTGTTTAGGGAATCCTAGCGGACTTTATTTTGTAACACTAACTTTTTCCTAGGCTACCCTTTATTCTTGTTCGGGTGTCCTACTAGGTTGACCCTATTTTTTCCGTAGCCCCCTTAGTGGGTTTCCTACTGGGTATTTTGCCCTTTTCTTTTGGCCTTTGGCTTCTATGGGCTTTTTTTTGTTATTATTTTTTTTCACAATATAAGCAAAGCATGACTTTATTTATGGTGAGGTAAAACCTTATTTTGTGCTTCTAATAGACCAGCTTGATTGTAATGGCAATGGTAAATTTTGATTACCTGAACGCGCTTTTTATTCTTCTTATTGAATATAGAGAAAATAGGGTTTGGAATTAATTTCCCTTGTGTATAAATCACACATAGGGTGGTCTATTTATAGTAGAGAGATACAACTAAAAGAGTAACTGAAAGTAACAGAATAAACAGAAGATATTGTTTGATATTGTGGTTACCAATATCTAACAATATCTTAACAATATCAAATAATATCTAAATAATATCTAACACTCCCCCTCAAGCTGGAGCATACAAATCGTATGTGCCAAGCTTGTTACAAATATAATCAATTCTAGGACCCCGTAAAGATTTAGTAAAAATATCTGCTAACTGATCACTTGAGTTAACAAACTCAGTCTTGATATCTCCAAACATAATCTTTTCTCGAATAAAATGACAGTCAATCTCAATGTGTTTAGTCCTCTCATGAAAGACAGGATTAAAACTAATATGAAGAGCAACCTGATTGTCACACACAAGTGTCATTTGAGTGACATCTCCAAATTGTAACTCTCTAAGCAATTGCTTGAGCCAAACAAGTTCACAGGAAGCCGAGGCCATAGCTCTATATTCTCGCTTCGCACTGGATCTTGCCACAACACTTTGTTTCTTACTTTTCCATGAAATCAAGTTACCACCAATGGAGACACAATATCCAGATGTAGATCTTCTATCCGAAGGAGATCCTACCCAATCAGCATCTGAGTAGCAAACAACTCTTGTATGGTTATTAGAACCATATAACAATCCTTTTCCAGGAGATCCTTTAATATACTTCAAGATACGAATGACTCGTATTCCAATGATCTTCACATGGTGAATTAAGAAATTGACTTACCACACTCGACTCGCAAAGGAAATGTCAGGACGAGTAACTGTAAGATAATTCAATTTTCCAACCAATCTTCTATACTGCTCAGGATCAGATATAGGCTCCCCCTGATTTGGTAGAAGTTTAGTATTGGGATCCATGGGTGTATCAACAGACTTTGAACTCATCAATCCAGTTTCCTCCAAAATATCTATGACATACTTCCTCTGAGATATAACAATACCATCATTGGACTGTGCTACCTCAATACCCAAGAAATATCTAACACTTCTTTCTCTCTTTTTTTTTTACTTAGACAAGGTTATTGTGAGGTCTAGTCATGAAATAACAAGAAGAGAAACAGATAGTAAGAAGTGTATTCTTTATTAATTAATAAGGGAATATGTGCTCTGAAATGCCCGGGGGTCGGGCTAGCCCCAGGGGATAATCTCTAACAATCATTGGGTTTACATCCCTTAAGTGAAGAAAAATATCTCCTAATGACTAGGGTAGCTCTCGGCGCTTGCATTCCCCCGCTTCGGAATATCTGTTTGAGTGTGCGGAGAGGAGACTTCCCTTTTCTTCCTTCTGCTCGGTCCTTAGTAGGGTCATATCCTAGGCCACACTTGAAAGGATTATCTTTGAATTCTAGGGGGTCCCTCATGCCTTGGGAATCTGCCACCAGTCCTTGGCCTGGATGGTAACCATGCTTCATCATCATGCGGGCTACCTTCGTGTTTTTGGGAAGTCTCTCTACACTGGCAATTTCGAGTGCTTGAAAAGATGTTTCAAGGGCCTCTTCAGCTGCATCCACATAAGGTTGGGTGGACGGTCCACTGATCAGGATATCATCTTCTGCTTGGACCGTGACCAACTTGTCATCCACTATGAACTTGACTTTTTCGTGGAGCGTTGAAGGTACTGCCTTAGCATCATGAATCCAAGGCCTGCCGAGGAGACAACTATATGCCAGAGTAATATCCATTACATGGAAATCGACGTTGAAGATAGTGGGTCCAACTTGGATTGGCAAATTAACTTCTCCCACTACTTCTCGTTTTGATCCGTCGAAGGCTCGAACGATAGTGCTGATTGGGCACAGACGGGTTCCTTGGATAGTTAACTTGTCGAGTGTGCACTTGGGCATCATGTTCAAGGATGACCCGTTATCCACAAGAACTTTGGCAATGAGGTACTCCTTGCACTTGATAGAAATGTGCAAGGGCTTGTTGTGTTTTGACCCCTCGAGGGGGAGTTCTTCCTCTGTAAAGGTGAGGTGATCGTTTGCCGTAATGTGACCAACGATCCTCTCAACCTTTTCTTGGGATATGGTGTGAGGTACATGCGCTTCGCTCAAGACCTTCATAGGGCACTTCTATGTGGTTCCGAGCTCATCATTAGAGATAATAGAGTTATCTTTGTAGGTGTATGATTGAGCTGGTCAATAATAGAATACTCGCTTTGCCTTATAAACTGGAGTAATTCCTCTGTCTCCTCCTTGGATTCTTTATTTTCCTTTTCTTCGGTTTGTTTATTTTTTCCTTTATTCTTGGGGGCATCTTCTTGTAAGTCCTTGGGGGAGTAGATCCTTCCACTTCTAGTCATGCCCCCAATGCCGACTATATTGGAGATATCCTCCTTTATTGGTGAAGATTCCCCGTATCTCCATGGTACAACTTTATTTGATTCGTAGAGGAAGGGACGTGGCATAAATAGTCGCACGGGTGTCCTTGCCCCCTCTTCCTTATTGGTTTTGAGGACCAACGGTCGAGGCTTATTTTCCTCTTGTGGTGGATCAACCGTTGGGAGAAGCTTGATTAAAAGTGGTTTTCTCTCTATTCTTCTGATTTGGAAGATGTGTTAGTTAATCCTTCCTTTTTATTATCTTATTTATTAAGAGTGAAGGAGGGGAAATTAAATATGCAAATGAATGATATGCATGTAAGTAGACAATTGTTGAATAAAAAAATTTCATTTATCCGTAGAAGGTGTACATTCCCCTATTCCATACTACGAAACAACTTTTGACAGAAACGGAAAAGCCTAAAGAAACCCACAGGCGGGTCTTGATATCTATGTAATTCCCTTTCGGCTTCCCGGACATGACGAACGAGTGCTTCACTTTGCTTCTAGACTTCCTGGCTCATATCTTCACTGTACTTTTGAGCCTCTTTGATTTTCGCCTCTTGATGGACGACCAAGGCTTGTAGTTCATCAAGTTTTGCAAGGGCTCGGTCTTTTTCTTGTAGTACTTGGTCATACTGAGCTAGCCCGTCTCTTTCTTTGCAGTGTAGCTCAATGAGACTTTTTTTGAGTCTCCGGTTGGCCTCTTGCTCTTGGCGTATTTCTGACCGAGTCCTTGTGAGATCTTGTAACAAGTCCTTGATCGTTTGAGCCTATTTTGCTGATTCGGCCTCAAGGCATGCTAATTTGGTGGTTATTTCTTGAAGTTGGCTATCCGAACTGGTTCTAGCAGCTTTGGATGCTCGGATAGCTTGCTCATTAGAGTCAGCACACTGGTCCTTGAGGCGCTCTATTTCATGATCCTTTTTCTTGCATTACCTCTGTAGACCGTCTATGGTGAGGATAGATTCTTGTTCTCTTTCTTCAAGGGCCCTCATCTGGGCTCCCATGATTTCTATCCTCTGGGTCAAGGCGAGTGAGGTGGATGGTTGAGACATCCCTCTTTTCCTTCTCCACTCCTCGTAGTCACTGGAGACAGCTACTCGAGCTTTTCCTAGCTCTCTGTCTCCCATGAAGACTGGTTTTTCCCATGCTCTTTTCACGGCTAGTGAGTTGGCGATGGTGCATGGGTCTCCGAAGAAACACAGTCCTCTGAGCTCCTCTCGGGATATTGTAGTTTGAGTCCTCATGAGTTGTCTCATAGCTACTCTAGGTGAATAGGCTATGCAACCCCTGAGTCCTATCAACGGTATGCTCGGGTAATCTCCACATCTGATGAGGACTGGGCCGGGTCGGAACCAAGGGCAAACCCAGGATAATTGGTTGGCGTCCCATTGTTCCAACTCGTCCTTCCACTTTGAGGTTAGGCGTCGGTGGAGAGGGATTTTGGAGAAGCTCCTCAAAGGGTCGGGGAACATCCCCATGTGACTAGAGGCGTAGAAATGCGTGATTCGCCACACAAAAAGTAGTGAAGAGCAACAACGAAGTGTTTTTCCTTGATTCTGGCGGAAAAATTCCACCGAGAGCAAGGTGTCAGCAAGAAGTGCAGGCAAGGGACTCTTCGAGTTCACGTCCCAGGCGAAGAAGGCGTCCATGACGGCTTGGTCCACTATGTCGATGTGGAAGGGAAACAAGATTGTTCCAAATATAATCAAGGCTAGAGTTTTGTTAAAAGCGACCCATTCTGCCCTTTCAGCCAAAATGGACAGATGGTCTTCTAACATTGAGACTTTCTAACCCTGGATGTTCCCTTTTTCTATCAGGGTAGTCTGCCGGAATGGTAATAGGATGATGACAGCGATTTGTGCTACAGGAGTATGTGCCCCGTGGTGAATATGGACTCCGGCTTATTTGGGCCATTTTAGCATAATCTCGTACTCCTCCAAAGTGGGCACCATGTCAAATTGTGGGAATTCAAAGAAGCGCAGACTGGAGTTCCAGAAATGAAATAGAACCCTGATAAAAATGGGATCGACACAGATCTTTAGCAGGTCAAGGATCCGTCCATAGGATTTTTCAAAGTCAGAGCGGACCTCTAGTGGCATTATCGCGCAAAGTCGTTCTAACTTCTCAGTATGGTACTGGAGAATTCCACTTTCTTCAATTGTCTACTAGTCCCCTCCATTTTCTAAAACCAAAATGCATGTTTTATGAATATGATGCTTATTTGTAGATATGAATGTGAGTGTTTTATTTTTCCTATTTATCATGTGTTTATTTATACATGATGTATGGTATTTGTGTATACATTTTTTTTTTGGAAATAAACTACCTGTATGAATGATTTATGAGTGTAATGTTTATGAACAAGGTCCCATTTATTTTTATTTGATTTGGGTTTTTATTTGATTTTATTTTAGAGCCTTTTATCTCTTCTGTCGGACTGCGTGGCTACTTAGCTTGCAAAGAACCTGAAGCCAGGCTAGCTAAAAGGCAGACTGTCCGAGATAAAAATGGCTTTAAGCGAAAGAATAATGTTAGCGTCCCTTATCTCTTTTGTCAGACTGTGTGGCTACTTAGCTTGCAAAGAACCTGAAACCAGGCTAACTAAAAGGCAGACTGTCTGAGATAAGGGTGTTTATTGCGAAAAATGTTTTTTGTGATTTTTCTTATTGTTTAGCTATGCTATGCAATCAAATGCAACAAAAAAATGCGCTTACAATTCAATCATCCGCGAACAGGTGAGAAGTCGTTTTAATCACGAGGTAGGGTTTTCCAGCAGAAAAGTGCATTGGCAAAGGTAGGTTCTAACTGTTCTCACCAAGGCTAAGGGCCCCAAGGTGCCCCCATTATAGGGTCCCCACTCTCCAGCCTTCCGACCATGCTTAGCACTAAGGCCATAGTCAGTCTTTGTGCAAAAAGAGGAAGGTTATCACCTTGAGTGGTGGTTTCTGATCACACTGGTGGGCTCAAGGCCATCACTACAACGAACCGTACCTGTCACCCACTCCCTATGGATTTCTCACTTGCCCCTGGGTATAGAGGGAACGGTTGTGTGCAAAGGTTTGTGTACAGTTTGTATTTCAAACAATTGCGTAAACATAAACAAACAACAGTTATTAAAGCCAAACATTTAAAACATGTTATAATACAAGGTAGGGTAAAAGCGTAATTTATTAGTTTATTTATTAAGTTGGCCCATCACTAAATGGGATCAACTCTCTAGGCTTCCCCAGTGGAGTCGCCATCTATCGCCGCCGTAAAAAAGAGGCGGTCGAAGCGACGCGATGGTTCTGACTTTTTCATTTTTCGCGTTTTTATGGGTGAGGTTACAACGCCTTTAGGTTGTCCGATAACCAGACTGAACCTAGGGGCGAGGTTTTTGAAAAGGTGTTCTTAGGTTGTCCGATAACCGGGCTAACCTAAGAACTAATTTGAAGGGGTTCTTATGGAGTCGCCACCAATGTTTTCACCGGAAACATTGAAAAAGGAGGAAAAAGGCGTTTGAAAAACCAACTTTAGTCGTTAAAACCAGAGTTGGGTAAGGGAGTTAGTTACGTGTAAGGGAAGTGTTAGTTCCCTTACGACACCCCTTTCGGGTTCCCTATGATAGGCCATCTATTTTATAAATGAACTTTTGAAAAGACACTTTTACCTTTTTATTTGCAGAATTAAAATAATGACTACATGGCCCTAATGTCTATTACGCAATTTAATCATAAAAATAAAGACAGTAAAAGAGAGGGAGAGAATGAAGAAACCTCCGAGGCAAGCTTTTGATTAATTTTCTTGAAAGTAGGGTGCGTTTTGGCAGCCCTTCGCTCTTACAATGCCGAAAACTCTCTTGAAACGCTATAAAAGCTCTCTAAGACTCTTAGAAAATCTGGAAATGTTTCAGATGGACTCTAGGAAGAGAATTTGAAGAAATTGTAGAAGGGAAGGTGGAAGAACTGTGTGAAATGAGGGGGGGGGCACTCACTATTTATAGGGATTTGCGCCTGTCAAGTCGAGACGGCCGTCTCGACTGACAAGGTCGAGACGACCGTCTCGCCATTCGGGACGGCCATCTCGACTTGCAAAAGTGGCGAGACCGCCGTCTCGTTTGGTGAGACGGCGGTATCGACTTTTCTAGTGACGAGAAGGTCTTCTCGCCAAACGGGAGGGGGTCTCGCCATTGGCAAGTGACGAGATGACAGTCTCGCCAAATGAGACGGCCGTCTCGACTTGCATCAATGGCGAGATGGCGGTCCCGAAAAGCGAGACGACGGTCTCGACTCCTGAAGGCGAAAATCCTTATTTTTATACAAAAAATCCTTCCTATCCTAATATGGGGCCTAATAGTCTCTCCTAGTGGCTTCTTAGGCTTCCTCCATCTTCAAATAGGAGGTCTTCTGTTCTTATTTTGAGGCCGGGCAAGATTTGGGGTCTACACCCGCACAAAAAACAGAAAAGAAAATCAGAGGGTTTTTGTGCCGAATAAATTACATTGCAAGGTTCATTGCACAACTAACAGATAAGTATGCACCCATTTTCAAGTTGTTGCGCAAAAATCAACCGACAGTTTGAAATGAAGAGTGCCAACAAGTCTTTGAAAAGATTAAAGTGTGCTTGACTAATTCACCAATATTGGTGCTGCCTGTGGAAGGAAAACCTTTGATCCTCTATCTGTCAGTACTTGAAGAGTCTATGGGATGTGTGCTCGGTCAACAAGATGAGACGGGGAAAAAGGAGCAAGTCATATATTACCTCAGCAAGAAATTCCTAGACTATGAGACCCGTTATACACCACTTGAAAGGACATGTTGTGCATTGGTGTGGGCAACTCAACGTCTCCGATAATATATGGTTAGACATACAACTTGGTTGATTTCCAAAATGGACCCAATCAAGTATCTGTTCGAAAAACACGTCTTGACCGAAAAGATAGTTAGGTGGCAAGTGCTCCTTTCAGAGTTTGACATCATTCATGCCACCCAAAAAGCTATCAAAGGTAGTCCTCTAGCAAACTACCTAGCGCACAGGTCAACAGATGAATATTAGTCCTTACAAGACAACATTCCAGATGAGCATACACCATAAGAAATTTTATAATTAGCTAGAAAAATTTGCTACAAAATTTATTTTTCACTAATTTGTAGTTAATTAGCTATGGAATAGTGAAAGAATAAGGTTGTAACTAATTTGTAGTAAAATAACTATGGAATAGTGAAGAAATAAGGTTGTAGCTAATCTGTAGTAAAATAGCTAGAAGACTAATATTTTTTGTAACTATTCCCTTACTTAGTAGAAAAATAATTTAGTTAGGAAAATTTTTGTCACTAATCCCTCACTATAAATATTAGCTATGTTACTTTTTGAAGCTATTTCCTAGCTAAATTGTGTAATATACCAACATAGCTAAATTGTAACAAATTTATAACAAATTTCAAATTGAAAAAAAAAATTGTTGGGAACCATTTTTGTAAATTATTTTAGTTTTATAAAAAAATATTTACAAAAAAATACTTGTAAATTAGTCTAAAAATATATAATTATAAAAAATAATTTTTGATCTTTTTGAAAAAATATCAATAAAAATTAATTACAATTTTTTCTTAAAAAATTATTTCTACCAAATTTATTATAAATATATAATTATATATATAATTGTTTTTATCTAAATTATTTGGAAATAATTATAATTTTTTTTAAAAATATCTAAATTTTTTGATAAATATTTAAAATGAATTTTTGTAAGTTTTTTTATAAATTTAAATTTGTTGGAAGTATTTAATAATATTTAAATTAATAGAAAATTTTATAAATAATATTTTTTTATAATTTTTTAAAAAACTATTCTTTATAAAAAATAAAAAAATTATTATATTTAGAAATACAAATTTATCTTTTTTTTATAATTCTTTTAATAAAAATCCTAATTAATCTTTTTCCCATCTTCTTCATGTATCCTTTTCTTCTAAAACCTAACTGGCGCTATAGCTATCATCGCTCCCGCGTCGTTCTTACTACCGCTCCTGCACCATCCTTGCTTTTGCTCCCGTTATAATACGGAACCTGAGGTTTAAGAAAACACTTTACCCTTTTTATTTTATTCTATTTTCTTCTCTTCTTCCCTAGGGTTTTAACGCTAGGGTTTCAGTGTTCACTCTCTATTTTTCTCTCTCACTCTGTTTCTCTTTCTTTGGGCATAGCCATGGATAGGTACCAGAAGGTGGAGAAGCCTAAGCCCGAGTCTCCAATCAACGAGAATGAGATCCGAATCACAACCCAGGGCGCTATTCGCACCTACATCACCTCAGCTCCTTTAATGTTCGATTACCTTTCGTGAGAAACCTTCGCCTTTTGTGCGGATTGGGGTTTTCATTCAGGGTTGCATTTTCGGGCTTTGAGACTTAGTTTTGTTTATTTGTTTGTTTGTTTGTTTGTTTGCTAAATGCTAGTGTGTGGGGGTTGGATTGGCAGGGTTTGGTTTGTGATATGTGGCATTTTGTATTTTTGTTTGTTTTCGTATGACCTTTGATTTTGGAAACTCTTTATTTGCGATAGAAAATGTTTTATGTGGGTTGAGTATTGAGATTGTCTCCTTAGTTTCTGGATTCAAAGCTAAAGCACCAGCAACATGTGGAGTTCAAATCAATGAGAATAGACTTTTCTGAAGAGAACCAAATAACATGAACTACATAATCACGGAGTACCTCTTTCTTTTGTTACTTTTTCCCCTTGGCTATTAAGCTTATTTATTTATACAACAATTACATAGGCCTTTTTGCTTCCCACTTGGCATATTTATGTGATGTTGGGTTGTATTTTATCTCAAGTTCATTGAATGAAAAAATCAGCCGCATGATCGCCTTACGCACCACTTTTAAAGATTTCATTTAGTAATATTGAATCTGTCAGCGTTAAAATTTACAAACTAAAGCAGTTCATTGATTGAGAGACATTCATTTCTTCACCCTTCTTGTAAATGCTTCTGAACCAATAAATATTAGTTAATGTTGGATCACTGATAATTTCCATCACATGCCCTGTATTCATGACTCAATGATATCCATATTTTCTGGTGAAGTGAAACTTTTGAGTAAGTATTATGTAAACATTGATTGAGATTATAGAAATATTTTTTTCATAGACAGAGATTCTAAGTCATATTCTTTTTTGGTGACACAATGCTAAATCATACTAACATGTTCTCCCAACAATACAATTTATGGGACCTGCATTGAGAGTTATTGCAGGTACCATGTATGCTGGAGCAACACTTAAAGATTGAGAAGGTGAGTAATTTGGAGCACAACTTCCAATGGTTGGGTCATTTGGTGCCACTATTTCTACCTGTTTTGCACTTGGGTCATTTGGTGCTACATAAAAATTCCCTTCACTTAAAATGGTTGGGTTAGCACTACCTCCTATAGCATACATTTTCTACTCATCATATTTGTTGTTGACCACATGGGCGTAACCAAATCTTACCTTGCATTTTCATCCAAGTGAATACAGTATTTATTTCCATCGAACATGCAAATTCAATCCATAGAAAAATCACTCTTACCTTGGCATCCTTTCAGTTAGGCCACTAGCAAACTGGTTGAAGGCTATTGTTACTTTAATTATTTTTTCCCTTGTGAATTGGTCATTGTGTCCTAGCAACATAACCTGCAGGCACGTTTCCTCATTCAAATATTATGTTCTCTAAAAACATATGTATGTGCCCAAATTCTAAGAAGGGGGATAGGTAGCAACGTGGTTACTATGGGTTTGCATAATTTAAAATGATCCGAAGATGCATTTTAGATGGTGAAACATGCGGCTATAATTGCTGATTGGAACAAACTATACTTGGTGGTTTATGATATGGTAATAATTGTACATGCATAATAAACTGCGAAAGAGGATTGTTTAACACACCTTTTTCTACTAGCAGTTTGATTAAAATTTGTTAAAAATTACAAAAGCATGAAAGTATTAAATAAGAAGTGAATCTTGCTAAAATTTATAATTTGCAACAAGTTTTAGTCTAAATAGAAAGTGTATTTCTAATATTCTTTAATTATGAAAATATTGAAGTAATTTTTTACTATTGATCTTTGGGTTTATTGGATTATTTATATACGAGATACCCTGCTTTGATTTCCGTAAAAAACTCAAGATATATTAAGTAGATAACAAATATGTGTTTCTTTCTTCCCTTAATAAATAAAAGCCAGCCACATAAGTTTGTAAAGAATTAAATTGGGGGAAAACTTTTCATACATCACAACGCTCGAACATTTGTGAGTTTTTGGCTATTCACACATAGATTAAGATTTTTCGATTTCCAATTTGAAGTTATACTGTTCTTTATAACTTAGTACTAATGAATAGGGTTCTAGAATCAATAACTTCACTGAAAATCTTCCTCCACACCTTGGAAACCTTTCTCGCATTAAAAGATTGTAAGCCCTGTATTATATCCTACTTGATTTATTTTATTTAACTTTGCTGCTGAATTATCAAGCTACAATAGAGAAAAAAATCATAAGATGATATTTGAATATCGGTTACATATTATGATATTATTGTATATGAGTTTTTAATTGATATTGGGAGAAAATTCTTATCATATTCCCTCACATTAAAAAGATTTTTTCATAAAAACTTTTCCATTTTTTTAAAACTTTTATCTAGTTACAAATGTTATTACTTTTAAATAATTATTATAAAAATTCATAAATATTTATCCTAGAAAAACTACATCCCAAGGATTTTACTATCTTAAATATTAATGTTATGAACAGATCCATTCATGCTATGATGTTAAGTTTTTATTGTGCCTATAGAACCAATAAAGGTTCCACCATATTTTATCATAGGTTGTAATGAAGTGTTCACCTTCATTGGGCAGTTAGAGTTCTTCTATGAGCAAGCCCCTGATGCCATGAGAAGCACATGTTCAGCTCTCCAACTCCTCACTGTTGCATTTGGATCGTACTTAAGCTCTTTGCTTATAACGATTGTGGCAAAGGTCACTACTATGATGGTGGTCTGGATGGCTATTTGACAAATTAAACTATAGTCACCTTGATTATTTCTTCTTGCTATTGATAGTGTTAAGTGTGCTATTGATGCAAGCACAAACGAAGGCACAAACAGAAATACAAACACTTATGCAACAACAAATGCAAGAAGAAATGCAGTATTGCAAGAAAGATTTATTATTTGTTTTAGAGAAACAATGATCAAAATGTACTTTAAATTTGTTTCTATTTTTAATTGTGTTATATAGAACTTTTTAGTTGAAATATTATTTTTGTTATGTTTTAATTGTTTGAAACATTATTTTAATTATGTTTAAACAATATTTTTATATTGAAAGTTGATAAGTTTGTATTCTTTTTTCAAGAATATGAGTAATAATTTAAATATTAAACATTTGATATTATAATATTATGATGATATATTATCGGGAATATTTATTACGCTAATAAAATTACGAGAGATTAGTTACGGATTAGCAAGAGATTAACTACAGATTAGCAAGAAAATAATTTTGGTAATAATTGTAAAGGATTAGCTATGAAATAGCGAGAGAAATATTGTGAAGGATTAACTACAAATTAGCGAGGAAATAATTGCGAAGAATTAACTATAGATCAGCTAGAGATAAATTGTCAAGGATTAGCTACATATTAGCGAGAGAAAAATTGCAAGAGATTAGTAACAAATTAGCGATAGAAAAATTTCAAGAGATTAGTTACGAATTAGCGATAATGAAATTGCGAGGGATTAGCTACGGATTAGCTACAAGTTTTGAGAGATCAATTAGCTAGAGAAAAACAAAAATTCATCACTTGAATTAGCGAGGAACTTAGCGACAAATTGACGACAAAATTTGCTATAGATTTGAGAGAGAATACATCTCTATCTAATTAGCTACTTGGATTTAGTTACAGACTATTCCATAGCTATTCCGTAGCTAATCTGTAGCAAAACATACCAGCGAGAAATTAGCTATAAAATAGTTACGGAACATGTCATAGCTAATATGTAAAATTCTTGTAGTGATATCATGCATATTCAACACGAAGAGCCCAACGATAATACATGGATCATGTTCTTCGATGGAGCCTCAAACATGCTTGGACATAGGATTTGAGTTGTTTTAATATCTCCCGAAAAGAAATATATCCCGATAACGGCTAGGCTGAACTTCGATTGCACGAATAATATGACTGAGTATGAAGCCTGCGCTTTGGGTATCCAAGCGGCTCTAGATCACAGGGTAACCAAACTCAAGGCGTTCGGTGACTCGTCCCTTGTTATCTACCAATTCAAGGGTGAATGGGAAACCAGGAATTCCAAATTGATCTTGTATCTAGAGTATATTTGTAATATGACTTCGAGGATGGAAAATGTCATTTTCGAGTACAGTCCTAGGGAAGACAACTAGTTTGCAGACTCCCTCGCTACTCTGTCATCCATGTTATCCTTAGATCAAGAACATGAAATGTCTATCATCCGTATCAGACTGCATGACAAACAAGTCTTTTGCATGACAATAGATAGCGAGGAAGATAAATCCCTTTAATATCATAACATTAGGCGATACCTTATGAAGGGAGAATATCCCGAGGGAATTAGTGACAATGATAAAAGGACCATTCGAAAGAGGGTCGTGAGATTCACGTTGATAGGAGAAACCCTCTACAAGAAAAATTTTGATTCCAACCTATTAAGGTGTATGAACCGGGAAGAAGCTCAAACTCTGATGAGAGAAATCCATGACAAAATCTTCGGAGCCCATATGCCAAGGCATGTCATGGCAAATAAAATCCTTAGGGCGGGATACTTCTGGTCCACGATGGATGGTGATTGTTATCAATATGCCAAAAGATGTCACAAGTGCCAAGTCTACGCCGACAATGATCATGTCCCACCGACACCTCTCAACATTTTGGCTACGCCATGACCATTCTCTATGTGAGGCATGGATGTTATTAGACCTATCGAACCTAAAGCGTCCAATGGTCATCGCTTCATCTTGGTGGCCATTGACTACTTTACCAAATGGGTGGAAGCGGTGTCCTATGCTCATCTGACCAAGAAAGTAGTAACCACCTTCATCAAGAGAAATATCTTGTGTCCGTATGGCATCCCTCAACGCCTCATTACTGATAATGAGACCAATTTGAACAACAAGATGATGGAAGAGTTATGCTAAGACTTTAGAACTCAGCATCATAATTCTTTTCCCTATCAACCTAAAATGAATGGTGTGGTAGAGGCAGCCAATAAGAACATCAAGAAGATCATCCAAAAGATGGTCAAAACCTACAAGGATTGGCATGA